GACTTCTGTTGTGGAGATCTGCTTCATGCAGTCGATTTCTGACAGTATCACGACCAATGGTTACCTGGTGCGTCTGCTGCAACACGTTAACCAACTCAGGTGCTGTGATTGTCGGTTGTCTTCTTGCGGTTAAGACTAAAAATCGGTCTTGAACTGCAGTTGTAGCGCGTCCTCGCCCTGGATGTTGTTCGGCTGGACTGCCAATTTCACGAAAACGCCGCCACAATCGACTGATAACACTTTGGGAGACCCCCAAACGAAGTGCTACATCATTTTGTCGCATGCCACCTTGAAGAAGCCCTACAGCTCTATTCATCTCAGCCAATGATAAGTGATGGCATGTTAAAGCACGATATTTCCAGTTTAATTGCTGAGCAAGAACTGCAGTTTGTAAAAAACTTGATAAAATATTAGTTACCGTTTTTGCAGGCTTTGTTCAACCCATAGAAATCTACAGGGTGGTCGAGTGTACCAATTTAATCGAAATTAAACGACCTCAAGCATTTATTTTTATGATATTTAGTATGTTATAAAAATATCCCTAGACTATTAAAAGGGAACTGTTGGAAAATAGGTTGCACTATATCGTTTACTTGAGCTATACCATCAACGTTAATAATAATAGCAATGCAATCACCGCTAACTTGAGTATCCACTTCGGTCATCATCATCTCCATACCAAGAATGACAAAAGCATCAAGAGAAAAGGTAAACAACGCCGTCTAAGGCTCTAGACTATGACTAATCACAATCCACACTGCACCTACATACCTTAATTTTCAACGAGGATCCTCTAGCAATCCACGAAACTCATCCTCGGGAAATTTTCCGCGCCGTCAGCTCTTAAACGTCAAACTGAATTTTCACATGTAAACATTTTTTCTTTCGAGAAGAAGGAGAGCAAGAAACGCACCGGCGCTACGTTCGGGGTCTTTATAGTTTATAGTACCGGGTGTGTGAGTACCGAGTACCAGCCAGCAAGAATGTCGACTACACTCCCGAAGAAGGTATCTGAAGTACCATCAACCTGTCGCGTGGTACGATCGAGCAGACTGTACGGCTTATGCGGTACTCGCGCGATGTTTTATAACAGTCTGCCGAGTCGATATCAATAAATATCATACGGGGTGTGTCGGAAATATCAGGTTCCATTCTTTGCGGGCGTGCCGCTTTGTTGTCTTTGATTATCAGGATATTGAGATGTGTTGGAAGCTGTTTAGGTACTTCTAACGTAATGGGAAATGTTCCTCAATTTGGGTTTCAATTTTTGGAGGGATTTGTTTCTAATTCATATATTGGCAACAGCGCCTATATCAAGTTGAGATAATTTATACGTACCTAGATATTCTATTTTAAAGAAGGAAATTTATCTTTATAACACATGGATCAATAAGTCCCGAGACTAACAATGAAAACAACATTTTTTTACAAAATTTTTTTTTATTCATCAACATAATCTCCTTTTAGGGTGATACAATGGTTCCAACGCTTTTCCAATTTTTCAATACCATGTTTATAAAAAAATGTATCTTTCGCTTCAAAATAAGTTTCAGTTTCAGCGATGACCTCCTCATTTGAGCCAAATCTTTTTCCCTGGAGCATTTTTTTAAGATCAGCAAAGAGCCAGTAGTCACTGGGGGCTAAATCTGGTGAGTATGGGGGGTGGGGAAGCAGATCAAAGCCCAATTCGTTTAATTTTGCCATTGTTTTCATCGACCTGTGGCAAGGTGCATTGTCTTGGTGAAAAAGGATTTTTTTTCTTTGCATGTGCGGTCGTTTTTTTGCGATTTCCTCCTTCAAACGTACCAGTAAGTCAATATAATAATCACTGTTGATCGATTTACCTTTTTCGAGGTAGTCAATGAAAATCGCGCCATGCGCATCCCAAAAAACTGACGCCATCACTTTGCCAGCTGACTGCTGCGTTTTCGGACGTTTCGGACGGCTTTCGCCAGCTGTGCGCCACTCAGATGACTGCCGCTTTGACTCTGGAGTGTAGTGATGTATCCATATTTCGTCCATGGTCACGTAACGACGCAAGAAATCTTTTTTGTTGCGAGTAAATAGCGATAAACAGCTTTCTGAATCATCGACTCGTTGCTGTTTTTGTTCCATCGAAAGCAATCGCGGCACCCACTTAGAAAAAACCTTTTTCATGCTCAATTTTTCATGAAGGATAGTAAATACACTTCCATATGATATCTGTGTCATCTCAGCAATCTCACGGAGCTTCACTTTACGATCTTTCATTACAATTTTTGTCACTTCACTCACATTTTCCGGTGTAACAGCTTCCACAGGTCTACCCGAGCGTTCTGCGTCATTTGTGTCGGTACGACCACGTTTAAACTCGGCAAACCACCGACAAATCGTTGTTTTTGATGGACAAGAGTCCGGGTAACATTTTTCAATCCATTCTTTCGCTTGCACGGTGTTTTTACCCATTAAAAAACAATGTTTTATCAGAACACGAAACTCGGTTTTTTCCATTTTTCAAACAAACTACAAAACGACTTTACTCTAACCTCGATAACTCAGCTGTTTCTGGTCAGATCGACTTAAAATTTCGACACGTTTCAAGCAAAGGTTAGTACTCTAGAAAGACGTGGTTACTGGTTTACTAAGAGCGCCATCTCTGGGTTAGTCTCGGGACTTATTGATCCATGTAGTAAATCAACAATTAAGGCAAAATATAAATTATAGTTCAATACCACCTCCACAAGCCACGTAAACAACAGTTGTTTTGTTATTTATCTTTATAGAGGAAGATAGGTTAGGTGCACAAAATGTCATATGTCACAGAATGTCTCGGAACAATTTTTGACTAACTTCGCGACTATCCATGTTCGTCGAATCTTGAATCACA